TTTTGCAGTATCCTTCCCCTGCCACGCCCACCAAGCCACACCTTTCAAATCATACCACGCCCACCAAGCCATGCCCACAGAACCGGTAGTAAAAACTTTTTGAATCTCACCACTGCCCATGACCATGTGATCAAAATCCAAATGCTTAGCAACGGGTTTATACTTACGGCCATTGCTGTGTCCTGAGATCATGTGATCCCCTTTTGCAACTCCTATTGTTTGACAAAATAAGTCAATGGGGAAGCCAGATTCACTTAACAACCGGGTCACTAACTTATTAACTGCAATGATTCACTTAACAACTGTGGCAAGAAAAGTCCTAAAATAGGGCAAAACTCACAACAAATGTCTCACTTAATAACTGAAATTTTGGGCTCAGTTGTGATTGTAAGTCAGGAACTACCTGTGGTAATTTAGACATCTTTGCAAAAAGAGACATTTTAGTATGCCTTTATAAAAGCCAGCATGGCAACTCGTATGGAGTTCTATTCTCCCTTAATCTCCACAAAATACAAATACTGTTATGGCTTTTGTGAAAGAGATGATCTTCAAAGTGAAATAAATGATCTTTCAGGTGATGAGATGTTGTATGTTTATAGGACTTTGAATTGGAAATTGATAGCTTACAGAGAGGTTTCACAGCGGGTGATGAATGACGGTGTTAGAAGGTATATTTTTTTCTGGATTCAGCTTCTAAACATCCAAGTGCTTAGTACAAATTTTGCAACCTTTTGACAAGCAAAGTCAATGGGGAAGCCTGATTCACTTAACAACTGGGTTACTAACTTACTAACTGCAGTGATTCACTTAACAGCTGTGGCAAGAACGGTCATAACAATGGGGCAAACAATGCTTAACAAGGAACGTGTGACCACATCACTTAACAACAATTCCGATGGGATTCAGGATTGTATTTCTTATTTTATTTACTTTTACCTGTTTTTGAATGTGGTCGTCTAAAATTAAAATGGAAGATTGGCATTTTCTGGTTTTTTTTTTTAAATCACCTTAAAGCTTTAAGAACCAGGAAATGACATTATCAAATTTATTTCTGATTTATAAACTTTTTTTCTTACTCGTAAGATCATTGGTTGTAGGATTCTCTAACTCAGGTTTCCAGCCTTGGTGGCCCCATCTGGTACGGAAGGTGTGTGGGTGTGTGTGTGTGTGGAGGCACATGTGCATACACACAGAACCATTTGTGTGAGCAGCATATCTATGCATGCACCCTCCACTTGCTCAAATTGAGCTTCACTCCTGAGCATGGAGTACTTGCACTTAGGTGCAAAAGCTCCACCTGTGAAAGTGAAGGGTGCTTGAGCAGAAGGCGCTTGTGCGCGCCTGCTGCTCGCTCAAGTAGAACTTCATGCACATGGGCTTGCCTATTTCTCCTGTGGCCCAGTTTCGAACAGGCCACGGCCAGGGACTTGGGGACCCATGCTCTAACTCAGACCTGTCAAACTGATGGCTTGTGGGCTGGATATGTCACATGTAGGTCAGGGGTGAGTTTCTGTCTAACATTACTGCCGGTTCGGTGCACGCGCGATTCGCGCACACTTCTTTGCTTGCGCACATCCTTAACACACTCTCTGCACATGTGTGCAGTTGCCTGTAAATAGGTCTGCACATGCGCAGAACATTAAGAATGTAAAAAAAAAACATGCTGCAGAGACTGGGGTACCAGTTTGAGGGCGTGGCAAGCCTGCTGTCCCTACCGGTTCAGTGACACAGTCACACTTTCCAGTACCGCTTTGCCCAAACCGGTGCGAACTGGTAGCAACCCACCTCTGGTGCTGGCCACTCCCACCCCGGCTTCACAAAGGGAAAAAAATCACAATATGGCACAATATGGCATGAGTTTGACACCTGTGCTCTAACTAATTTATTTGAGAAGATTGCCA